GGAAGGGGCCCTCGGTGCGTCCCAATGAATTGGGACGCTGCACCCTAAGGCGCTCCTCGGAAGACGGCACCGTGCAATGCAGGTTCGGAGATGGCCTAGTCACCCTAACTTAGGGTAGGCTCCGAGCCCGTCGGTGAAGACATATAGTGAGCTGGTGATGATGATGTAAAAAGTAGACAAGTAGTTTACCTTGTAATTATCAGTCTGTGATGGTTTCAACATAACTAAAATAGCTGATGGCTCTAAGCATCCCGTTAGATAAAAGAAATCTGAATTCTGTCGGAACACATATGGGATCTTGTCCGACATGTATTGCTTGCGGGCCGCCGGGATTATAATCTGAAAAATAGTTAATAGAAAATAGAACAAATAATTGTTTTATGAACTTTTGTTGTTTATCAAAGTAATAACTTCTATTAATAAATATCATTATAAGTCTAAGTAATAATTTCTATGTAAAAATTATGTCAAATAAATCTTACAATGTGACTCTTATGAACATTATCAACTTCAGCAATTAATTTGTTGACTAAAGTGTCCCGTCTTTCCTTATACTCCATTTGTGTGATCCCACAGGTCAAATGACCCTTAGCTATCATATGTGGATGCGTGTGGTATGTCGGCTGCCCTAAGATTCCTTTCGGTATAGAAAATTGCGGCACGATCTTTTCCTCTGGCGGAATTTCCATTTGCGACATACACCTCCATTTATTCTGACTTAGATTCTGCCTTACCAGATGTTTCGCTCGTTTTAAACCTACACAATTAAATCTACGTTACATTTTAACGAACAAAAGAAGGAAACTAAGAAATTTGATTTATAACCTAACTTACCAAGATCCGAAAATTTACGGAAATTGTACATTTTAAAGTTATAAGAACAATTAGAATTGAAATTAATCGCACTATTTTATGACTTTCTTCAGAGGAATCAAATAATCTAGGTCAAAATAAACAGAGGAACTTTTGTCAACTTTGACATGTTTTTATGACAATGTAGTGACGTTGACAGTTACAGGTTAGTTCGAAAATTATATTTCTGCAAAAATTATAATTTTTCGCTTTAAAAAATTTTCCTTTTATACTAATATTCTACAATCACATTCTGAAGTAGGAAATGTTTTTTTTATTCAAAAAAGGCCAACCAAAAATTTACTTTGTGTTTAGTTAATGTGTAGAGAAATGGAACGTCTGTTTACGATCCGTTATCCGTCAGTTTACAATATCGCTAGTAAAATTAAAATACCATTCAATTTAGTCTAGGTGATACATTTCCTTAATGATCGTTTCAAGTTTCATAAAATTTATTAAGCAAACGGCGGAAAGAAGTTGCTCCTCATTTAAAAGGTTCCAACTGCATGTAGTACATTTTTAACAAACAACCTGATTTGAGAAAAAAAATCAATTAAAGTGGGATTGGAAAAGTAGCTCTTATCCAGTAAAATTTCTTTGGCGCCAATTTTAATTTTTAAAACCACTTCGGTTTTGGTTCGGTAGTGTAAGCATTAAGAATAAGTTAAGTCTTATTTATTGTAAGTGCTTAAAAAGATAAATTGTATACTAATTTTTTGAGTCGTGACTCTTTTCGCATTTCCAAATTAATGTTACCGCCTATTTTTTTTTCTCTAAAGTTAAGATCACTGTGTTTAGTACCACTGAACTTCACAGTACACAGCAATAGGTAGGTACTACTATTCACTTCGTTGTTTAATACTGTTTTTCCTCACAGTTGGAACATATCACTGTAGAGTGTACCAGTGATGACCACTGAATAACAGGAACGCTGGGATATCCGTATGCAGTCAAAATTAAATCTTTCTTGTCTGAACCACTCACGTAGGTTCTTATGTTTTTGTAACACTGTGACATTTGGCTAGATTTATACACTGATACAAGTTTTTGGTTCCATCTCCTTAAAGGTAAAGAGGTTCTACCTAGGCTTTGTGGGAAGGAAGGTCGTTACGTTCACCATCGCCTGTTGAATTGGATCGGTGCCAGTCTGCGCTGAACCGTCGGCGTGTGCGCACGTCGCTCAACGAAACGACGTATCGCTACGCGATCGCGAAAATAGTGTCGTGCCCGTTATACAGTGTTTCAACACCGTTCAGTGATTTGTTTATTTTCCCATTAATATCGGAGTCACGGTGCTCGGCGAACGAATACGAAGGTTTGTTTTTTTCTTTTAAAAGTCTAGTTGTATCTAGCCAGTACAAGTGCGGTCCTAGTTTAGGCTGCATTCGCTTCGTTTTGTAACCCATTCATTATTTGTTGCGGACGTTTGCATTTGTTACTTAACCGACCTCGCGGTTTCGTTCGGAAATACCGTAGGTACAATTCACTTTATCAATATATTATTTATTTCAACACAAAATAATGGAATCACTACTTTCTGTAACCCGTAACATGCTTAAAAAGAAGTATGGTAAAGATGATTTACAACTTAAGTTACTTGTTATTTAATAATGTCTAATAACAACGTGCAAATACGTGCGTAATTAGAAGTGATTCTTAGAGAGTATTTAAAAATTGTTTGCGAAAAATTTCACGCTGCGTAATTTTAGTCGCGTTTTTTTCGGCGCGGGAAAGTAAGATTTCCACGAACAATGGCAGTCTATCCAGCGCCGGCACAGATAATGTATTCTCTCAATAATTATACTGTAGACATTATTATGCGGAAGCTTATTCACATCACGCAGGGCATATTGACCGACGGCTTCGCATTTCTCATTCTTCATTAAATCATAATTAACGTAATCATTACCTTTGTACAACTACGTTAAAAACTGTGTAGACCATTATAGTTTTTGTACCTGAACAATCAATTATTTTTAAGGAATTTAATTTTTTTTTATTCCGCTCAAGGTAAATATGAAGATGTAAGTCACAAATTGATATCTTAATTTCTAGAGCATTTTATATATCGTTTGTATAAATAGAATTTTAACGATACTTTTGATTGTAATTAATTAAAAACCACAACTAAACTAGTTACAATATTACTTGTGCGTCTGGGGGTTATATAATAATATATTACGCTCGATCTACAGGCATTAAATAAAATTGAAGTATTGATTATAACATAAGTGAAGTAATCTAAAATAATTTAAATGGTGAGCTTTTTTAAATATTTTATTCTGTATATTTAAAAAGGGACAAATACATAATGTAATCTATCAGGTTTCCGAACGTAACTTGGCTGAATAGCATATGCCTTTGCCCTTTCTAAAACGCAAGTCTCGTTTCGCTATAACCACGGTCTCATTGTTTAGATACCTTTTGTTTTAATTGTGCTAAGTTTGTGCAATTTCGTGCAGACAATAGCCTTTCAATATTGTTTGCAAATTGTATTATGATTGAACATTAATCATTATTTATTTTTAAAATTGGTCCATATTATATTAAAGATATTTCATAATAACTGTTAATTCAAAAAATAATAAATGTTATGTAAAAAGCGTTTCGTTAATAATAAACATTTTAATTGTACGTAAATTACGCCATTTAAAACGTAATTCAACCCATGCATAATTTTTTATTAGTGTGAATGTTTATACGCAACAGTATTTGTCAAATTGCATTGGTATAAATTCACACTCAAAACTATTAAGACGCTGTTCTGCCGAATTGCGCATCTTTGGAAGCATAGAACAGAATTTCTACAAAGATTTGATTCGTGATATTTTAGTATGTGTAACTTCGTTAACTAAAGTCTCGTGGAACAGAATCACAATTGGACAAACTTTTCTCAATAGGTTTATTTTTCGCAAATGTGCCTAATTCTGTAAAAATCAGTATTTTTTTTTATGAAATAAGGTGGCAAACGAGCAAGCGGCCACCTGAATCCACCAAATAAAAAAAACGACCGCTCACCATAAACATCCGCAATTACAGATGCGTTGCCTACCCTTCATTGACGGAGAAGACGCACATAAAGAGGATATTTCCCCTTCCTATGCGTCTCCTCCACCGTCAAATCCACTTTTCCTTTCCATCCTTTCCTCTTAAGAAAAGGGGGGAAAGGAAAGGGACTAAAATTAAGCCTCCGGCACCATACTCATCAGACGAAACGCGGAATTGCTTCCACTTCACACCTGTTTTCTGAGTGGTCGTGGTATTATACCGGGCGAGCCGGCCCATTCGTGCGAAGATGTTAAAGCGGGCTCTACCACTGTCAAATCTATATCTGCAATGCTACAACGAACTAAAGTTAAGTAATGTTAAATGCCAGACGACCATATTGCTAATACAGCAACCTTGGTATACATGAATTGTAGCCGCAACTAAGGAGCTGTATTTACGGTCAATGCGTTATTTGTAGGTCCCTTTCAAGGCATAACATCCATTCATCTTGAGTAGCACATCTTTTATTCATTACACTTGAATTATTGTGGCTTGATTTTTTGTCAAATTATCCGTTTGTAGCTTTATTTATGTACGTTAGTCAGATATTTATGAATCAATTGATGTTTGTTTTCTATTGATTTAGCTTTTCAGGTGTTTTAACAGTATCTGAAATAAAATGTCTATTGTGAGCAAAGACAAAAATACATGTAATATAATTGAAGTGTCTGTAATATCAAAAAAAAAAATCCTGATTTCGGGATGATGATGTATTTGCGTTGCTGATAACGGAAATTGTTTTTAAAAAAATGTCTGTCTGTCCGCAAGCCGTATTTGTTCCGGGTAATATCAGAACGGCTGGGCTTTTTTCGATCGGACTTTCACTGAAGGGTAAGCTGACATAGACGGGCATGTTATAGGCTACTTTTTCATATTGCGCGGGCAACAGGTATTGGACTATACGGAAGACCCTTAGTGTATATAAATTCATAATCAAATTATACAGCGTATAACATACTAAATCTATAGTTAAGTCTAACTAAGAGGAGATTTAATACTTAAAATTAACATGAAAGGTCTTTAAGACCAATTAACGTCTCTGAGTGCGGCAGTAAGTACATAACGTTCACAGGCCGCCGGTATGCGCCTATTGAGTTCCGGCCCTCGGATGCGCCGGCGCAGTCGACTTGCTAGAATGGCGGGTATTTTCTGTTTTGTTCCAAGTAAATAATAAAGTTGTCACTTTGAAATGTTTTATTTAGCAAAATTATGACAGAAAGTATAAGTATTACAATGCGAAAATATATTAAAGATTGTGATAAAATATTCTGTGTCGTATTTAACGCGCCAAACAAAATGAAATTGGAAATTGATTTTTTTTTTAATATCGGTCTATTAATTCTTGAGTTGATTTACCATAACTACATAAATGTAATTATTTCATATATACGAGTTAGTTACAAGGAAATTAAGGTTTAAATCATAAAGCGTATATATTTTTTTTAAATCGCTTGTAGTTTATGTTTTGCACCAGCCGTCAAAGCCCGTAAAACCTTTACTATTCCCTCGTTATTATCGAAACGAATGCGGAGAGTAAGCCGTTAACTTCTGATGGTAATGAGTTTTTTTCTATTTTCTGAGAGCCCCAAGTGCTTTGTGAGGCTTTTGTTAATGACTAATTGAGGATTGGACCTTTTGCCCTTTGGTTCTTGACCCGACAGCATTATAATTGTAACAAACTAGAATTGTATGTCTTATTTATTTTCTATTACCCATCTACGTATTCTGTATACTTGCTTTAGACTGCGACTGTCCGCATGGAATTAAAAAAAAAACAAAGCGTGTGTTCTTACGTAACATTATAATGTTATATTGTTATAACTATAAAAATGAAAATTCAATATAGTTAAATTGTTTTATGTTAAACTAGCTTTTGCCCTCGACACCGCCCGCGTGGAGTTCAAAAAAACAAAAGTTAGTAGCCTATATGTTCTTCCAGACTATCTTCTACATCTATGCCAAATTTCATCGAGATCCGTTCAGCCGTTTAGGCTACAAACTCTAACAAACATTCATCCATCTAAACTTTCGCATTTATAATATTAGTAGGATTAGTAGGATTAATAATGTGAATATTTTTTGTGTTAACTTTGTCTAGTTTCCTTGGTTAATTAATTGATAAATAGAGTATTTTACCAAAAATGTGTTTGGTTTTATCGTTTCCAAAAATGGCGTCGGCTTGCGTGACTTTACTTGTATATTAACGAATTCGACCACATGGTCTACTGCACACCCTTACCAATATTCCCAAATAATAATATGTATAAAAGTAACTAAATGTACTCCGTACATTGCCAGGGCACTAAGAGAGACTCTTAGTGGAGGTTTAGTATGAATCTACACTAAAAGACTATTAACAGTAAACTTAAATTACTCTGAGAATGGAATTAATGAAGTGTCTTTTTCAGGCGCTCATTATTTGAAAATATCTATAGATTATAGAGTAATTTGTCGAACTCTACTACGATGTTTTTTTCCTACTTAACTATAGTTAAGTTAACAAAGATAGATGTACTTATTCTAACTTTAATTATTAGCCTCGGGACCATACAAACATCGTTTAACAACCGTAATCCGAGACTTAAAGCGGGCGCACACATGTGACTTAAACATCGCACAACTGTTGTGCGATTGTCGATTGTTTCGCAGCCAATTCAACTGTTCAGTTACACAACTAAAAATCGAGTAGTGTGCACCTTATGAGTTTATAGGAATCAAAGCAGGACTAAACAGTTGTGCGATAGTTTGCCGCGCGTTCTTGAACAAATTATACGTTGTTCCAAAAGCCTGAGGCATAAAAGTATGCGTGTACCGTGCCAAATTAGATAGAGTTACACGGTTTCTGTACACTTGTGTACACAAAACATGTCCGTTGTTAAACTAGTCTTTCCCGTAACCGGCGGGATATAAAATATGATATTTTGAGTAGGAAATAGAGATCGTTGACCGGCGATTAGCTGTGGCTTTTTTGTAGGCGACGCGACTCCAGGACGTCGCTACGTGACTTATTTATTAGTTTGAACACCTTCGCCATTTTGTATAAAGGTATTATCCAACGGTATCTTGAGCAAAATAATAATGAAGAATTTTTCTGGACGTTGATTGCTGAATTTCAGATTTGAATCCCAGATGATTCTAATGTAAAAAAGCCGTGTGGTTCCAATCTTATGTTGTTCTTTGAGAAAAGAATTCAAATAATATAGCTTATTTAAGTCATCATCATCCACTTGCCCTTATCCCTTACGGAGGGTCGGCACAGTACGTGCTGCTCTTCCATACATCTCTATCAGCCGTCATATCTGAATCCACTCCTTTCTTAAGCGTATCCTCTTTAACACAATCCATCCATACTTTCTTCGGTCTTCCTCTTCCTTTGTAGCCATCCACATTCAATCTTAACATTTAAATAAGTGATAAAAATAAAAAAAGTGTTTAAGTTAAAGTAGAAATCTATTATAAAATATTTGGTAAGCTAGTTTTATCGCTTTCGTCGGCTATAAAGCTCTGTAAGCTCTCGCAACATTTCTGTGATAAAATCAAATAAAGCGATAACTCCCGTGTGAAAACTCAATAAAGGCAGATGTACACGAACTTGGTGGCGATTGCTTCAAGCGGTCAGTGTTCAGTTACATTTTTAGCGACGCGCAAACTGCAGTTCGTTTGCGCTTGCGCGGTCCGTTTATGGCTTTATTTGCGGTATACAACGAACATAGGTCGTAACTTTTGAGACATAATATTTCGCTTCGCAGCAGGTATTGTCCCGCAATGTTTTACGATTGCAACCACCAGTAAATTTCAGATTTTATCGTTCTATTACGGAAATAAAGTTCTAGTTATAAAATTTAATAAAGCAATTTCTTTTAAAAAAGATAGTTATTTAAGAATATTTATTGTTGACTAGCTTTCGCCCGCGACTCCGTACGAGTGGAATAAAAAAATAAAAGTGAATAGCCTACGTGTCCTTCTAGACTATCCTCTATATCAATACCAAATTTCTTCGAGATCCGTTCAGCAGTTTAGGCTACAAAACCTAACAAACATTCATCCATCTAAACTTTCGCATTTATAATATTAGTATGAAGTATGATATAATGTTACAATCAGAGACAGTTAATTAACTAGTTTAAAATTACGTTAACCGTGAATTGAACTTGTCAACAATAACATTAACATAGTAATGGCAGTTATTTCTAGAAGAACGAAAGAGATAGATATATAATTTTGTACGATTTTCTCAATGGAAGTCCACTATTATTTTCAATCAGTTGTCTATGTTATTCCAGTCAATTAAATCCGAGAAAAAACTAGTTTCGAATCAATTAAATTGTGATAACGGTTCAAGTCTATTACTTTATTCAATAAATTTCGTGTATGTCACTGTTAGAGTTTGAATTTAGTTACTTACCGAACATATTAGTCATTTTACAAACTGATCGAATAAGGCACAAACTTTGGTTAAGATAATACATTTTTGATATGATTCATACATAACTAGTCAAGTAAGGACATATTATATCGTTAAAATTTCCTTTACTTGCCTAATTATAGCTAGTCTATACTTATATTATAAAAAGGTTATATTTGTATTTTTGTATGTATTGAAATATTTAAAAAACTATTGAGCCGATTTAAAAATTTTCACTAAAAAGCTACGTTATCAATGAATAACAGGTTATATTTTTATTATTTAGTACGTAACGCGAGTAAAAGCTAGTTAGATTATAAACTAACAATGTTAGCAATGTGACGGTGGCATATAAAAATGGCGACATGTTGGTACCTTACGAAGTTGTCGTAAGACCTTGTCCGGTCTGAGCCTGAGCGGTGTTTGCAATGATGACGTCATGTATGACTAAGATCCGATGTCTATAAAATATTTTATGTTTTCACATAAATAATACTTTTATGTAATATTCTTTATTGTGTATTCTTATGTTCATTTACTAGAAGTAGCAAACATTTGTTTCATTTCAAATATATCCATTTTTATTTAGGCTCTATACATATACTTTATAACTACTTAATAGTAGAAAAAAATTGATATACTTTTAATAATTTCACTAATATTGTTAGGTATAAAGATAGAAGCGATTATCGGCACAGTATCACACTGGCCAGTCTTAAAATCAAAAACAAACTCGTTGCAAATTGTGCATAAACTACGATCGTTATATAATACCTTCCCGCCAAACAACTTATAGTTTGGCGGGAATGTGTGTGTTTGTGTGGGAATGTGCTGAGAATTATATTTATAACAAATACTTACTTACTATTTGAATTTTTTGTTACTTTGTACTACGTTTATATCTTTTCCTTAGGAGACTGAATAATTTTGAGATAAATATCAAATTGTAAACACACTTCGAAACTCCAAGCGCAATATTGCTTACTAAGAATAGAGCAATTTAAATTCTATACAGAGTTTATTAAAACATCCATCAAACATCGCTACATAATCTTTGTTACAAAGAATATCTTTCATACAAACATCTTAAATCAGTTCTTAATTATTCATGCGATCTGATACCGTCAGTTACGATAGAGATGACGAGGAAAACTAAAGGAATTTATCTCAGCAATTAATATTTTAATCTGTGGTAGCTGCTCGCTCCTAGCTCTTTGACCAATTCATTGGCTTCCAGTAATATATTTGTATTGAAATTATCTTTTCTTTCAGTACTCTTAAATAATAACAGTAAGTTAATAAATATAATAAGTATCTTCTAGTTAAATTGGTCAACTTTTTTATCTTTGATTTAAGAAACTTATGTAGATTTATCTCTTGTTTAAGAACGATGTTCGTAATTGTCGATGACGTAATATCCGCCATCGTTGTGTCAACTTCTTGTCCGGAACACGATGGCCTTTTTTTCTTTCATCTGGTGCATATATATTATTTATCTTCTATTTCTTTCCTCTTCTGTTTTCTTTCGTAATCTTTATGCCAACAGATAACATATTTTTGCAAGAATACGTAGATATTACACTTTTATAGTGTGATTCCGAGTAATTGACCAGCCGTTAAAATAAAGTATATAATTGCATGGTTATTATACAACATAACACGTGATAACGACCTGCAGGGTTATATAGGGTGCTATAATTTTAATAGCAATACGCTAAACTACGCTAATTGTATAATTACAAACTTTTTGTGACAATTTATCGCACGTTGATGGATGTTTGTATGCATTTACAGGTAAATAATTACACCATTCAACTTAACAGCGTCAAAGATGAAGAAAAAAGTACTAAACTCAAGACAATAATATATCGGTAAAAGGAAGGTTTTAATTACGTAAAAATCTTTAAAGATTATATAGATAGATTTAAAAAATACACCGATATCGAGTCATGAGCGGTTCTAAGGTGCACAATAGGTACATATTTATTTTTAAAGTGGCGCCAATATTAAATTATGCGCGCCATAACCTAGTGTGGCTGGCCGGAACCCGCCCAGTGCCTTTAAACTGCGTTCCGATACACGCATGCTTTTATTTTCTTTTGTTAACTGTTTATCTTATTAATACAATAGTACCATGCTTATGCTTGACGCAAATAGCCCTCGACGGGCTTTTTTGCTCTGTCATAGTTGGGTTGATACGTTTTTGCATGATACTTATTATGGTTTTATTTATATGGCGAAACAAGATAAAAAACAGCATCCATTTTTTCACTAATAGCAATTTACTTAATATGGTTTCATAATTTATTTTAAGTGCCATTGACATGGCAGAAAACATGTATCTGCCTAAAGCGAAGCTTTTCTGACTTCATTAACATTAGATCCGGTTGAATTAGACTTTTTCGGGGGATTTACAGAATGCTTCTGTCATTAAAAATGTTAGATGGACTTAGAAAAACCCAGATATTTATATATGAAATAACTAGGATAAACCATCCAACGCAAAGAAAATAATGCGATTGCATCGAATGTTCTCGAGTCCTTACATCTGCAGTATTAAGTTATCATTTGTATAAAAAATCTTGGCATGTAAAGTGTGGGGCATGATCAGTATGATCGATAATGGCCACGATACAAATCACACGATCCCTATCAATGCATTGTGCGGGTAATGAATAATAGTACTTCAAGCTCTCCAGCGTTATACCATTCATTTCAATTCGCTCATATTCGATTCTCGTATTCAGGCGCTTAACAAAAAAATGAGGTTTATAAGCCTGACATTCTCTTTTGAATGCACATTTATTAATATACCTGTTTATAATCTGTATTTGTACGAAAAATTATAGTAGCTTACAGAATTTAAGAAGACTTTAATTTAAAAAAAAATAGCAAAGTTAAAGATAATTTAAAATATATCTCTATTTATGCAGCCTTTCCACAAATATATTTTTTTTATATAAAGTCCAGAGCAAACAAACTTTAAGGCAAAAGCAAGAATAACTATAAGCTTTGAAATAATATTCCAATAGTTTAAAATACTAATTCAACATTCTATTAGAGCGACTTACTTAATGGCAAGCACGTGCAAGCAACGCCATTACGTCCACTTATGCAATTTCCTGCTTTCACTACACTAAAAACATTACTTTGCTGTGACTTTATAAGAAAATTATTTAGTATTTAGGAACAATATGACAGAATTAAAAGTAATCACGCTTATGAACAGACTGTTTTATGTATTATAAAAATCATTACAAATCTTATAAGCATTAACATGTTGTTTTGAGGCCATTGTTTTTTAATTCATATTCAATCCCACGTTTTAAATTTACGCAATGATACAGTAGGCGTTATGTGTAGGAGACAAACGGACAATCCTTTTATAAAAAGTCCAGTATTAGTTATTCCTTTTTTACACAGCTAAAATGAATTCAGTTCGAATAAGGACATCGTGGCTATTAGCAGTTAGTTTTCGCTAGGTTAATAAACTTCTAGCAATTAAAAACTTCAGTATATACAATTAAATTTTGCTTATCACTAACAAAATAATACTGTGTCGAATCGATGAAGTTGATAACATATTTTTAGAATTAAATAAAGGCTCTTTCAACAATATAAAACCGGTTTTCGCAATCACTTGCAAAACGGAACGTATTCGAAATGGCGTAATGTCAAACTCGCAGCTGATCTTAAAATAAATGTCAAGTTTGCAGCGAGTACCGAAAAAACACGTCAGTATTTCGAATATTTATAAAACGCCGACGATGGAAAATATCATTGATATTTAATAAAAGTGACTGTGATTCGCGAGGTTATTGAGCGTTCTTTTTGAATATTTAAATAATCAATACCGATCGGAATTCCGCGTATGTGTAAAAATGTTCTTCGATCGATATTAGTCGAATTAATATTATCGGTTATAAATTATTAAGGTATTTATAATTTTCAGGTTTATCTCCAGCATGGGATTCGGCAATATATTTGGATACTTCTTTCTGTTATCATTTGTTAATTTGGGTTTCGGTAATTTACATGCACCCATTATAAACCCGGGCATACTTACTCAGTCAAAAAACCTCGGCGATTGTCAAGCGTGTAAATTATTCGTAGAATCGTTTAAGAAAGGCCTAGAACGTACGTCTAGGGGGAAATATGAAGGTGGTGATGCAGCATGGGAGGAGGAAAAGTTAAAAAAATCGTACAAGCGCAGTGAAATGCGTCTAATAGATATACAAGATGGAGTTTGTAAGGATGAGAAAAAACATGCTGTGCAGTGTCATTATATGGCTGAAAAAGCTGAGGAATTTATTGAGGAATGGTGGGCACAAGATCCTGATGAGTCGGTTGACTTACTCACTTATCTTTGTATAGATAAGATAAAAGTGTGTTGTCCTGAACATCATTATGGTAAGGACTGTACTCCGTGTCCCGGTGACCATAGCAATATTTGCAACGGGAATGGGAAATGTAGAGGTGATGGGACTAGGAAGGGAAATGGGACCTGTTTGTGTGATCCAGGGTATACCGGAGAGAGCTGTGCAGTTTGTGATACTGATTACTATTTGGCTTATAAAGATGAGAATAAGATGTTGTGTTCTCGGTGCCATATGTCCTGTTTAGGCGGCTGCAGTCAAAGCACACAGAGGGATTGTATGGCGTGTAGAACAGGCTACACCTTTGATGCCGATGAAGGCTGTTTAGATATCAATGAATGTGAGGATATTAATAAATGTAACAAGGATCAGTTTTGTACAAATACAATGGGATCTTATTATTGTATGTCATGTGACAAGTCTTGTGATGGTTGCCATGGTGATGGACCTGATCTTTGCCGGAAATGTGCCAAACGATACTCAAAACATGGTGAATTTTGTATACATCAAGAGGTTGATGAGGAATCTGATAGTCTGACTACAGCAAGGTAATTTTATTTATATTTCTTTTTTATTTGCTGTTGTATTATTTTTTGTTAATTTTTATGAATTTTTTACAGAAAAGAGGAACTATAGTACATTGAATGTTTTATAGGTAAAAATCTTTTTTTTTTTTGGTGGTGGTATTTAAAGCTAATTTATATATTTATATATTTTGGTATAATTATAATTTGGTACATCATCATCATCATCTCCCCTGCCTTATCCTACTCCCGTAGGGTCGGCGCACCGGGTTTTCGTCCTCCAAAGCACTCTATCATCCGTCATCTCAGTCATCACTCCCTTTTTGACCATGTCACCTTTGACGCAATCCATCCATATCTTTCTAGGTCTACCTCTACCGATGTACCCCTCCACATTCATAACTAACATCCGTCTTGTTACATGCGATTCATCCCTTCTCATAACATGCCCATACCCCTCTAACCTTTTACTTCTTATTTTCTCAACCACTGGTGCTACTCTCAAACTTTCTCTAATATAATTTTATCTATGTTTATCTTAAAGTATTTTTACTGTAGTAATAATTGTGGAATATTTTAGTATCAACATATAAAATTGGTAACATGTTTATTATCATATAAATGCAAGTCTGAATATATAAGTGTTACTATGTGTCTACAAAATAGCTTAATTTCAGTGAAATTTGTCATAAATGTAGAACATAGTTTGGGAGAACATATAAGCTACTAAGTTTTTTTTTAAATTTCATTTCTATATAATCATGGGTAAATGCTAGTATCATATTGTTAAGAAGAAAATTAGTACCATGCCCTAGAATTGATGCAACACTAGATTGTCGGCATAATCACATCCCTAGCTGACAGCTGTCAATGTCATGAGAAGGATTGGAATATTCGCGCGCATTCATGACGAGACCTCTAGTGCAGTGTTAAATTAATATCGCCAGTAACAATTATGACAATGTAATATTTATTCATTCACATACATATAAAATACATTTTTACACACAAAACAATATTTAGTTATGTCATTGTGTTTCAGGTACATGACATATGTTGGTCTGTTGGTAGCGACTGGTATTTTGCTACCCAAATCTAGTTCTCTCGGTGGATTCGTAGGTTTCTTGGTAATGTCATATATAATGGGTGCTGAATACTATTGTATGATTAATGGGCATTCGGGATTAGTGAACCTAAAAGACTTTGATTTATCACAATTGGTCTGGATCTAAGAATCTAGACATATGAAAATATCTCAAGGGATCTAACCTAACCTTGGAGAGATGTCTTAAGGCATGTCGCACCAAAATTGAAAATTGATAATCCAACGGGTAAAATATGTGATGGAAATATCAGGTTTTGTTACATTATCTGACAGTGACGGTTTTAAGCTATCTGAGCCTCTCTCAGCCAGTGGTGGAAAGACCCTTAATGTATTTAATCAATGTGAGCTGTGCATTTTATGTAATTTTATGTGATTTTTAGATATTTTACAGCACTTTCGGATATTTTATATGCATATATTGATGTAAGGTTTTGTCAATAGTCGTTAAATTATATAAAAGAACTAGGCTGTAATTTTAAAACATCCAAAAGGATGTTTTCAATATATCTGTATGTCGGTAAGCACAAAATTATCAATGCAAAAATGCATGACTGATTTAAAAATCGGTCAAAGTAACGGAAGAAAATAGTTTTTTTTTTGGAAAAATGTTTTTTCTAGCATAGATGGAAAGAAACGATGTAATTATTGATTTACTTGTATAATAATTAAAACAAAGTATTAGTTTTTTTGTGAGTCAATTTAATGCAATTTGGAGGTTAGTTTATATTTAGTGGGTTCATATTGCACAATTTCCGATATTTACTCTACCTTGAGCGCTTCTCGAAGGCCGCGACGCCTTTGCGTTACCTCGCTGCCTTGTTAATATTCAGCAGATGTTAAGTCTGAACAGAATTTAACTTTTTATTTCATTGTTTGATTATTTTTCATGAATGGATAGATTGGCTGAATACATCGTATCATTGAACCCTTGCGAACCCGGGGCGCGACGCTAGTGAGTTATAAAACGAAAGACAACTCATGTTTGTTTTAAATTTGTTATAAAATTATTTTTTATTTAGAGGTTACATTTTCTAGGTTTTAGTATTCTTCAAGTCAGTTAATAAATTCTTCTAAGATTATTTTTTGCATTTAAAAAACGGTTTAACAATTTTTTACTTTTATATTTTGTTGTAATACACGCTTATTTATTATTTTATTTTAATGATGAGAAACTATTTTTTGCCAGGGCTGTATTTGCGAAATTTTAATTCAAATAAAGTACTCGCATTAAATTAATCGTTTTATTTAATGTTTAATTGATTAAATATATGATTTAAAAGACAAATCATTTGCAAGGTAGGTACACATTCATGATTGTCAATATTGTAAGTCGACCATGACATCGTTTTTATGTTCGCATTTTATACTTTACAAATGTGGTACGCGAGTTTTCCATCTTATTGGATAAATAGTTTTATTATTTTATACTATTGTAATAAGTGATTAAATAAAGAATAAGTGTCAAAAGCCGTCTTTTATTTGTACCTTTGACGTTAATAAATTTTATACTCTGTTACAAATGACGGTCATAGTTTGTAATTTAATGTTCACAAAATACCTAAGTGATTTAGTGTTGGGGTGGGTCTCCGAAAAAATCGAGTCATGAGGGATGACGTAAATTATTGAAAAATTTAATATTTTTATTTTCATTCTTGGCTAAACAATCACATACTACTAATGTGTGGGGGTCTAAAATATCTAAAAAGCATTAAATTAGTAATAGTCGGCCATTAATAAACAAGTCGAAATTGAAAAAGACACCATAACACACGTAACTTTTATTTTTTTTATCTGTGCAGTAACACCGTTACATATCGTGACTTGCGCGCCATTATCTGTCGATCACTGGCCACGTGTTATGTAATGATTTCTTACTTTTATGTTAATTGTTACCATTGCGTTATCAATTACTGTACAATGCTATGAGTAAAATTAGCTGGAGTTTTACTGTAATGTTCTTTTAATGGCTACAGATTATAAATATTTATTAAATGAAGATTTTTTTAGCCTGACTGACAAGAACGAGCATAATCATACATCATACTAATATTATAAATGCGAAAGTTTAGATGGATGGATGTTTGTTACTTTGTAGCCTAAACGGCTGAATGGATTTCGATGAAAGTTGGTATAGATATAGTCTGGAAGAACACATACCATAGGCCATACTCACTCATTCACCATACTCTACCCACTTTTGTTTTTCTTTCAATTCCAAGACGGTTGCGGGCAAAAACTATGATGATGATGATGAAAACTATGACCTATATATACCTATTATAAAAAGTTGCAACGGAAATTATGTATGTTAAACGAAACATAAACTGACCTACAAAATCTTAGAAATAGCTAATCTGTTTAGACGAACGGGGAAAATTCGTTTTTCTTCGAAGAGAAGTTTGAGGTTTGTCAGCCATTTTCTTTTTAATGTTATATGTCACGGTATGTCATAAGTAGGTACAATGTGTTGTTAGTACCATTTGTTGTTAGCCTTGGCTCGGTTAACACTAAACGTTAGCCGCAAGCCGCACTTTACAAGGTAATATTTAATTCTTTGAAGTCATACATTTACAGTGACTGAAATATGCACTTTTTATAAACATTGTATGGCTAATACGACGTTTAATTATGAGTAAAATCCTTTAAAACAGTTAAGCACTAAGCTAAAATAATCATACTAATATCATAAATGCGAAAGTTTAGATGGATGGATGCCTGGATTGATGGATGTTTCTTAGAGTTTGTAGCCTAAACGGCTAAACAGATTTCGATGAAATTTGGTATATATGTCGAGGATAATCTGGAAGAACACATAGGCTACTCGCTTTTGTTTTTTTAATTCACGCCGATGGAGTCGCGGGCGAAAGCTAGTATAAATATAATTCACATCAGAGTTGTCGAATTTAACCGATCGTAATTGTACATTACAATTAGGATAGACTCGAATGTTAGATCCAAAAAAAAATCTAGTTCTTGACTTATTTTTTAGTGTTAAGTATAGTTATATCATACTTTAGTTAGATATTAAAATAAAGATAGTATTCGTTGTTTAGTAGTAACGATTAGTTGCAACTAATCGTCTTGGATTGCGTGCCGCACGCACGCTAGCGACGGCCATGCGCTCTGGCGGACACTACTCCAAGCATCGACAAGCACACTACTTAGTTGTCGTTATTGACCTGTAGACTTTTGAAACTAACTTAAGAAAACTTGCTGTTATTCGCGGGTATATTAATGTGGGCTTTCACTGTCCAAAAAAACAAAGCAAAATTGGTACCATAGTTTTTTCACCGTGAATGAGACACTATAAGTTTGAATTAATGTTTCAGTAGAAATCCAAGTTAAGAATGTACATATATAGTTTGTAAACAAGTATAACAAACTAGATATCCATAGGACATCTAATCTCGAGCTTAGAACGGGTCCGACCCGTTTCCCTTCCGCGAGGATTCAACGCTAAGTGGGCACCGAACAAACAACTTTTTAGCATTCGTAATGCAAAGCGCTCGCATAGTTAACACCTCGCAGCATCACGACTCTGCCGATCTTATGTTCCGGTTATGTTCCACTAAGACCCTACATAAAAGTTTCAAATCAACTGTAGTACTCAGAGTGATGTCACAGGGAATTTAAATAAGCAAAACTAAGGGGATGTTTTAGTAACTAATGAATTAACTGTGGCTTTATCATACTTCATACTAATCATACTAATATTATAAATGCGAAAGTTTAGATGGATAAATGTTTGTTATAGTTTGTGGCCTATACGGCTGAAGAGATTTCGATGAAATTTGGTATAGATGTAGAGGATAGTCTGGAAGAACACATAGGCTACTCACTTTTGTTTTTTTTTTAATTCCACGCGGACGGAGTAGCGGGCGAAAGGTCATATATTTTATGTCATCTATTAATTAGATGTTTTGTTTACTGTCGTAACATATTCTAGATTACTCAATACGCTTTCCAATTTTTACAAGTTGCCCATTTCTTCCAGTTGTATTGTTTTAAGAAGTTATTGAGTTATGAACATGAATAGATTTAAATCTTGTCTGATAGGCGTGTCGGTTGTGCGTGTTTATATTATGTTGTTTATTACCTCACTATCGTTAGTAGAAAGCTAGTGAAAGATGAATTATTACAAGCGTAAAGAAATAAAACGCCCACGGGAAACAATACCCGGCTGCTTTCTATCACGTGTTTGAACAAATCGCCGCTATTGTTGATTTTGTGGGAACGTGTTAGCCCTCGTAACTAATGTAATATAATGTTGTCTCACTTTCGTTTACTTTGGTTATTCTTTGATCAATTATACTGATGTTTAAAATCATTGTTGCATAAAGAATGCTGTGTAATTTCTTGCAAGAAAAATGTAAACAACTGAACACAATGTTTTGCTCTAATTATCAATTGTTATTGAAATGACAGATGACAGCTGTCAAATTTTGTTTCATTTAGCTGTGATAGTGTGGGGGGCGTAACGGAACAGGTCTTGCGAATAACATTCATTACTTGTGAGGGCATTGTTATAGTGCCCCCCGCGATCGTACCCCGCACAGGCACCAGACACGAGCGTGGTTTACCGTTCGCACTGACACGACCGCCCATTACAGTTAGTGCCTTTCACACGTCACGACATCAGTCTTGCTCTTAGAACTTCCTATTTTCTTGAGTAAGAAAATTATTCAAATACTGCCGCATTCGAAGTATGCCACAAAGAAAGTAATTTTATATAGATTTGTGTTTGGCGCCCTTTTTAATCTGTGCAATAAATAGACAGATTATAAAAGTATTCTTGCATCCATAGACTAAAAAAGTACCATAGATCAATGAATCACAAATCGAAATCATTAAGTTCAGTTTATAATCTTTAAAAACCTGTTAGCGCAAACAGTCGTCTAAGAATTATTAAGAGGGAGACAACCTTGAAATGAGCATGCAAATGTATTTTTCTTGTATCTGACGTTAATATCGTCTTAAACACGAGTCGCGTGTTTATTGCTTTAGTATTAATGTTTTTTTAATCTATATTGTTTTTCAATTTCGCGGTCAGGGAATCTGTATTAATTGGTCTGTAAATATAATGGTAATCTTAAAAAAATAGATGCAATCCTATTCCTTTAAAAATCTTATTAAAGTTCTTAAATTTACTGTGTTGCTACACAGATGTTTTTTAATTTCACAATTAAAAGCACTTTAACATTTTTACATGCAATTTTTATTTTAAAATTAATATCTCTATTTTTCCTTAAAAAAGTATTTCGTGTCAACAAAATATATTAGACTACCTGTTGCTAGCGTCGTAGTTCGCGTGAAATTAAACATCGATCCATTACTTTATGAGGTATTTCAATATATACAAAAATCTAAAAATACAAATCTTTCCTCTTTATAATATTAGTATAGATATAATTTAATGTGAAGGTTGTTATTTAAGTTTGATAAAATTTATCACCTTGTTCTAAAAGACTGTTTCCTTTCATGACATCATCTTATTAAGAGTTCGATGCTATTAGAATATTCATCAGAATCGGTATTATTAAATAAATCTATTATTGTTATCCTCAAGTGTTCAATATGCGATGATCTGGTCAAGGTTGCGGGAGTATCCTGGATGCGGGAGGCACAGGACCGATCATCGTGGCGATCGTTGCGGAGGCCTATGAACAGCAGTGGGCGTCATATGGCTGAATAGCAGTAGTAGTTCAATATGCAAATAAATTTTGGGAGGCGGCGATTTTAATATGTAATCTAACACATATCTAATGAGACATAGATTTTGATAATAGAAATGCATTTACTCAAAGTAGGAAAAGGTTGGAATAAAATGATATTAAATCTAACTAGCTGTTGCTCGCGACTCAACCTGCATGACATTAAAAAATATAGCCTATGTTATTCACAGATAAATTATCTTTCTAACGGTGAAGGAATTTTAAAAATCGGCCTAGTAGTTTTTGAGTTATTCCAACACATACAAATAAATATTTTCACTATATAAATAAGCTGTTCCTGTGCGACTTCATCCACATGAAATTATGAAAATTTTATTTTATTGTTTACATTTGTCAAATTATCAATTACAAATGTCACGATGACATGACATTATGACAACCTTGTTTCCTTAATGTTGGCAGCTACTTATGGTCTCTTTCCCACAATAGGGTTTTTATCTAAAATATTAACCTCTAAGTTTAATGGCGTTGAAATATATAGCCTAAAGCATGACGCAAGTGTAGGGCTTTTTATTAAAAAAAGAATTATTCCAAAATATGCTGTAATTGCTGACATCTTAGGCAACAAACAAGTGTGTGTTTACGCTTTATTATAATAGTATAGATAGATTTATTAATCATTACTTTATCTTTTATGGTTTTATGTATTATGAAGAAAACATTAAAGCTTATAAAACGATAGTTATTAAGTAAAGATTTACGGACGTGGACATTGTAAGTTTATGCTAAGCATGTAATCTTCGTCATAAAACAGCCGTCCGTACCCTGGTATTAGCTATTAGTCATAGATACTGCGTAGGTGCACTAGGGAATGCGGAAATGAATCCTCCATTGAAACAGACCATTCAGGCTTAGAAAATTACAGAACTAAAGAGAAGTCATCTTATATCTTAGCTAACAAGTTCTATTGCTAATCCAAAGACTAAAATGATTAGAGAATAGCTTAAAGAGAAAGAGACCTATGTATTATATTATTATACAGACTATCTATGGCTCTACATCTTTGCTTTTCATCGAGATCTATTTAGTAGTTTAGGCCAAAAAGCATCCATCTATCCATCAAAACTTCGTATTTATAGTCTAGTAACATAAACAGAGCGTTAAATTCGTTGAATTGCTTAATAGTGCGGGAAAATCGCTATAAGATTACAATGGATCAGTGGCAAAATACGCACTAGTCGTAGAGTATAGGAAATAAACTCCTACCATGGAAGTACTAATAATTACTTCCATGACTTTTATAGAGGGTTTATATTACCTGCATGGATGTATTATTACCTCCATGATTGTCTGTCAAATTAAAAATAATTGGTTTTTTCTACTTGTTTTATTAATATGTGATATTGTTGTTAAGGATTAAATGTTACCTTACTTACTGTATTTATTTTAATATTTCCTACATTCAATTTATTTTGTTTACTTTTTAAGGTTCACGTGCAAAGATGTAGTTTAAAAAACGAACAAACTTCACGGTATTACTCCTTTCATATTAAAAAAATCCTTCGATATTACTTTATTCGAAAGATTACCTTATTAACATAGGTTTAGAGTTGAAAATGCGATGTAGGTTGTCTATGTTTAAATGAGGCTGTCGAAACCGGCCACTAAATGTCAAAGAAGTCACATTGACAGGACCTTGGATGCACTCCCGAGAAAAAAGGCCTCTTATTGGAATATTTAGGGATACGTGGGCGTTCCGAATTTAAATTTTGCCCGTTCCTTGATTTTCCGACAAGACGGGTTTGTTACATTGTTTTCGAAAATAATACTGGTTGCTTCATACTTTTTATTTTAATGGATTTTTTTTAAAAATTGAAGCAACCAAGGTTTTTACCTTGGGCGGTTGGAAAATGATATGCATAATTGTAATCAAACAATAATAATTGTTGTCGTTTATTTAAAACTAGCTTTCGTCCGCGACACCGTCCGAGTGATATTAAAAAATATAAAACATAGCCTATGTTATTCATTGACAACGTAGCTTTTTAATGGTGAAAGAATTTATGAAATCGGCTCTATAGTTTTTCGAGTTATTTAATTACAATCAAACAAACAAAGTTTTCCTCTTTATAATATTAGTATAAAGTATAATATAGATATGAAATAATATAAATGGTATAATAATGATTAAAAAATCAATCCTTTTAATTAAAACCATTGTCGTTATATCGTTTTATAAACAATATTCTCAGGAACTTTTGGTAAAATTACAAGGTCAAACACAAACTCATGATTTCGAAATTTCAATTTAAACAACACGGTACAGGTTTCAATTTCGTTTGAAAATCTTGGTTTATTAAGATTTTTGTTTTCTTTTCAGATATCGACACGTTTTTCGATGCGGCCCTCGGAACGTTTTAGTTGATGACGGCATACGAGGTTGGTTTAATACATTTTACAAGTAAATGCTGACATTGCTGTCAAAATAACAAGCTTAAATCTGCTAGAACCTCTAAATGATCTGATAATTACCTGGAAAAGTGATTGCTGTAATTAAATGTGATAATTGACGTCAAACAAATAACTGCTGATATTTAGTTCCAACGAGCTGTCGCACGAAAACTTCGTTAGCGCGGATTTAAAAAGTCAACTGTCACATTCCCGCCCAAACTGGACCACCCGTCGAGAGATTAAAGGCAATGTCAAATTCCATATAGTGTATGGTGATAATTGTCATAAATATGTAAGGCCTTCCTTTGCTTTGTACTAATTTTTGCTTACACTCAATTTATTCATAAATTTAACTTTATACCGCGTTTATTTGTAAGGCTGCCAGTGTTTTATCCGCAATTATTTGAAATTATCGTCTTTTAGAGTAAAATACTCCATTTATCTGTGAAAATATTTAGAATTGGCCAGATAGAGTTATTATTTTTTTCTATTCATACATTAAATTATTTTTAGAATGCTGATAGAATTGTGGTTGAAATCAATCTAAAGTATTTTTATTCTGTGGTATTTGCGCGGGAACGGACAGGTGTAGACACATCTAATGCAAAAGGAAGGCACCGCCTTTTTTTCATAATTAAAAAAAACAATGTTCAAGAAGCAGATAAAGAAGCATGTATCTTTCAATGTAGGCATAAAGAATGAATATGTGACCAGAGACAATATAGACAATATAGACCAGTCGGCCGTGTTCCTTGTCTATGTAAAAAGATTTATTGCTCGGACGCGTCTGTAATTTTGCAATCCTTTTTTAAATGAAGTCTATTTCGAGCTTGGTGTGTCGCAAAAGAATTTTCTTATTTACTCTGCAACATTTTTTTAATTGTTTACGCGCCCACGTCGTTGTTTCTTTTCTTTAAGCATGCGTTATTTAATTTTTTCCCCGGCCTAATGTGCACAGAACACGAGCGACTCGGTTTATTATAAAAAGAAATAACAGCGTAATTTGTGCATTCTTTCTTGAGAATGAAATTATTTTATACGTAAAAGTAAAAGTATTATGGAGTTTTTACAATACACATACTTATATACACATTAATAAATTAATTTGACAGATTAAAAAAATCAAAAATTACAGTTTTTTTTACACTAACAACAGTTTTTTTTTGTTAATCTTACTGATATTATAAATGCGAAAGTTTAGATGGATGGATGGATGGATGGATGTTTGGTAGCGTTTGTAGCTTAAACGGCTGAACGGATCTAAATGAAATTTGGCACAGGTTTAGAGCATAGTCTGGAAGAACACAGAGGCTACTTTTAATCCCGGGAATAGTTACGCTTCCTGTGGGATTCATTTATTTATTGATAGATAATTTAACTACTTAGCTTTAAAACAGTTTTAAAGATATATCTAAACATTGGAAAAGCTTTTGAATATTTTTATTAAAACATATTTAAAATGTGTAAAGGTAATTTGGGTGTCATGTCAAGGTGTAAACACCCTAGTGCTTGATATAATGAGCAGTAATTGTGTAATAATACCTTGTACCTTGTAACGTGTAATGTGTAATGTTACCACTGAATGTTGCCAATCGTGTATTTCTGAAAGTGTTCGGGAAATTATTTGTGGTTATCGTCCAGTAATTATTGTAAAGGGAACCTATCATTTTCACGTTCGATTGTCAATATTTGACACTTTCGTGCATTAAAACTGACACTTTTGTGTAGGTATACCAAATTAGTTTACAAGTGAAATTTAACTAGCTTTCGCCCGCGACTCCGTCTGCGTGGAATAAATAAAATCTAAAGTGAGTATGTGTTCTTCCAGACTAACCTCTACTATCCGTACTAAGTTTCATCGAAGTTCGTACAGTAGTTTAGGCTACAAACTCTAACAAAAATCCATCCATCTAAACTTTCACATTTTTAATGTTAGTATGTTTTTTTGTCGATGTAATTTAATTAAATCATTCTTTCCAGAAAACAATTGCTAATCTATTTGCAACCGATCTGTCGGATTATTCTTCATCTTATATTATTTCGAATCCTCGTACATACGTCGAAAAATAAGTAAAAGACCATTTACCTCTCACTCAAACTAATACAAGATTTCTCATAAATGTCTACCTAAGTTGCGAAGTAAAGTTGTTTGGGGGTCTATTCTGAAATTCAAGATGGAATGCTAACAGAATTATCATGGACTTACTAATTGCAGAAGCTGTTTGATCAAAACATTACGGCTTCGTCCGTCGGGAATGCGTTGCCTTGTGTTCTGAACGGATGCATTTACTGTTATTACGGTACACTATATTATGATAGATATCTCGTGGAAGCCTGGATCGACGCAAACGTCAACTGTAGTATGAAGGAATTTTATTAAGTCGCATACGACATACATCTTGCAAGCGTTTTGAAGGTTAATACTGCGTTTTCCTTGTGGTTTTGGATTATCCCCAACCGTCATACCACTCTGTCCCCACGTGGACAGAGGAGAATGAAAAGTTTCATCCGACCTATCTTTTGCGACGAGGGAACGGTTGGGACTCATTTTATTTCATAACGGTTCCATCTGTCACGTTATTGGTCATGGTGGGATTAAAAGGTGGGACGGATGAAACTTTTTATACTCACGTGGGGACAGAGCGGGCTCCTTTTTCTACGAGGAAATGATGGGAAGGAAAAGTGGATTTGGCGGTGGAGACGCATAGGAAAAGTCCTCTTCCGTCAATTAAGGGTAGGCAACGCATCTGCAATTGCGGATGTTTATAGGCAGCGGTTTTCCATTTCGGTGGATGCAGGTGGTTGCTTGCTCGTTTGCCACCTCATGATATAAAAAAATGGATATCTTCGTTTATTTAGTAATGCAAATGTAACCGCATGACATAATGCAGGGCGCGGCTATCCGGTCGTCGTTCGATAATACGGTCAGCTCTCGATATTGCGTAACTTGAAATAAAGGTTATATTAATCTTAGTATTTTGTATTTACTTCAACTGTATTCCATTAGCTTATCTTTTAATTAGTATCTTATTGTAACTTGAGTATTGAGATGGCAACATTTGTTTATCTTGATGTAAGTTAGGAATAAGTAAGCCCATGATGGAGCTTAATTGGGCAACTAAAAAGTCCATACAAAAATCATACTAATATTATAAATGCGAAAGTTTAGATGGATGGATGGATCGATGTTTGTTAGTGTTTGTAGCCTAAACGGCTCAACGGATTTCGATGAAATTTGGTACAGATGTAGAGGATAGTCTGGAAGAACACATAGGATATTTGCATTTGTTTTTTTTTTTTAAATTCCGCGCTGACGAAGTCGCGAGCGAAAGCTAGTATTTTATAAAATAATTCTAGTTGTCAATTATTATCTCTGAAGGCTTGTATTTTATGTAAAATACTTGTGTGTGTATTAATGAGGTATCGAACAATTCTTATCTAGTTCATAAATATTCGCATTTTTCTAGCCGGTAGTCGACAAAGGGTTTAATAAATAGAACTGTGTACTCAGGCTCCATTCATTGACGCGACAAACAAAAAATAACTAAGGAACCCGTTGCTAATAGATTGCGGTACAGCAAATAGGGTTGCCCAACCTACAACAATTTTTTTTAAATATTTTTTGTAATTACATTAATTTTTCCTAGCTTTCGCTCGCATCTCCGTCCGTTTGGAGTTCAAAAAACCAAAAGTTAGTAATCTATGTGTTCTTCCAAACTATCCTCTACATTTATGCCAAATTTCATCGAGATCCGTTCAGTCGTTTAGGCTACAAACTCTAACAAACACATGTACATCCATCTAAACTTTCGCATTAATAATTTTACTAAGATAAGAACAGGATATGAATAGATATTACATACAAAGATGATTAAGATTTTAGGCGAGTTTTGAAATTAGTGTTTATTTTAATGGAAAAAAACTGGTAAAAGCCGTTAATAACCTTGTATAACATTGGTCGTAAACGTAGTATCTATACTACTATAATAAAGCGTAAACACACACTTCTTTGTTGCCTAAGATGTTAGCAATTAGAGTCTATTTTTAAATAATACTTTTTTTAATAAAAAGCCCTACACTTACGTCACGCTTTAGGCTATATATTTTCACGCCATTAACTTAGGGGGCGAATATTTTGGATAAAAACCCAACGTGGGAAAGATACCATAAGTTGCTACCAACATCAAGGAAGCAAGATTACCAAGATTTGTCACGTCATGTCATTTTGACATTTGCTATTGATAATTTGACAAATGTAAACAATGAAATAAAATTTTCATAATTTTATGCGGATGAAGCCGCACGGGAAAGGCTAGTTTACTATAATTTGTTACAGAAAGAAATTTATTGCGATTACTTGTACCGATTCTGGCCTCTCTTATGCTGGTAACTTGTTAAAATTCCAAATGCAGTATCAGATAAAAATAAATTCTATCGATACTGAAATATGGGAACGTCACTAGCGGTGGCAAAGTTTATTGCACCGATAATTTTCTCCGTATCGACAGGTTTCGATATAACCAATATCTCTTATACGAAGAACTTTTTGTTTGTAGTCCAAAGTAAATATTTAAAGCTTGTGTTATCTGTAAGGATGTTTGTTTATTCCTATTGTTATTTCTGCATGATAATGCAAGTTCAAAATGTAGCTTAGTGGATTAAATTAAGTAATTTTTAGTACAAAGTACACTTTTGAATTTTTGCAAGTAAATCAGCAAAAATTGCAGACTATAAAAATAATCCTAATTTCTAACTTGAACCTTAACATTATAAAATTTTATATCACGTTAATACGTTCGCAATTTTTCAATGACATATAAAAATGACTCGTTGAAGTCTTTTGTGTGGCTAAATAAAATACGTAGTTGTAAAATGTTGGCGTCCCTCTCATACGCTTTGATTAAATAGAGATAGCTATATTTAGTACAAGCGTTTCGGACTGAACGGACAAGCTATATAACAAGTAGCTAGATTTCCTTAGTTTTCGC